TGCCCAGCCCGCTGCAGAGGCGGCTGGGAACTCTATGTCCTGGGTGGCCACATGCCCAGCCAGGAGTCAGGGGTTCGGTTGCTCTGGGAGGTGGACGATGCCATTGGGAGCCACCCGGACCTGTCTGCCACACCCCTGGTAATGTTTTCTCCCACCACCCCACCACTCCCCACCCTGAGTTGCTGTTTTGTGAAAAATGACCCATCAGACCAGTTGCATTAAGTAATTCATAATTCAGGAGTCAGCTGAAGATGCCGGGCCAGCGGGGGCGTTCATTAGCTGCGCTGGCAAATCCCTGGTGGGGCCCCACACCGACTCACGGTCTCTCCCCACAGAGCCCACTGTGCACCTGAAGCCAGAAGCATCTTCTCCAGCGGAGGCCGAGCACGTCGCTCCCTGCTCCTGCTCCCCTGCTCCTTAGAAACTGACCCAGGGCCCTTGCTGTGGAACTGAGCTTAGCCTAACGAGGCAGCTCAGAGGCAGGCGCCGGCCAGCCAGCCAGCGCCCAAGCTCACAGAAGAGACGGAGAAAGCCTCATCAGCAGAGCGTTCCGTCATCGCAGCTGACTGCTCTCCAGGCCTGATATGGAGGATATCGGAGTTCGGAGACAATGCACCCAGCGGAAGTGGTCCCAGAAACAAGGGGTGCTGGTCCACGTCCCCCCAAGCCTCGCGCCTGCCTCTGTCTTGTACGTGCCCACCACCGCAGCCTCCTTCTGTCTGGGACGCCTCCTCCGATTGCTGCGGTCAGAGCCTGCAGCCCTCCCCACTAGGTGCCACCTCCCTTTAGACTGCCAGCAGGGGGTGAGCGTGTGCTGAGCTGGGCACGTCCTGCCTCTGTCCCCGGCACAGGGGACTGTCCTCCTGTTGGGTCCCCGCCTTCTCTTCCCAGCTGGGCTGTGCTCTTCCAGCGGGATCCACGCCTCATTCCCCTCGGGGAGCCCGTGAGTCTGGCCAAGCGCCCAGCATGTGGGCTTCACCGAGGGGGAGCCTCACGGGCAGAGGATTTGTGGAAAACCGAACCAGTCAGTGTGAGTAAAGCCCAGGGAGGAGGTGGGAGTGCAAAGGGCTGCCGGGGACAGGTCACAGAGGGTCCCGAAAGCCCACCGAGGCAGTGGGACTGGCCCTGAAGGGAAGGGGTCCTTGGACAGATGCCAGGAGAGCAATGCCGGAGGACCACACGCTGGGCTGTTTGGCGTAAAGAAAACCACAGCGGGGGACCCGAACGGGGAGCAACAAGCCTTCCAGCATGTCCGCAGCCTTCCTCTTCCTGGCCCTGGCCCTGCACTCCGTGGGCGCAGGGAAATCTCTGCCCACTCTCGTGCTGGGACCGTCCCGAGCCGTCTCGTGAGCACGTGGAAAGACTGCACACAGTGCCACCGGCCTCGCGAGCAGCAGCCAGCGGCCTCCTGGCCATCCTCAGGCTTCTGAGGAGCCCCTGCGGAAGCTCCCTGATGGTTGACCCTCCCTCTGGAGCCCCAGGATGTCTGGCTTCCTGTCACCTCCCCTGGAACCTGCAGCTGTCCGAACAGCCCACACCTCGTCAGCGCTCTTAGGGGCCTGCTCCGCATCACCGTCATCAAAAGGAGAAATCGTCCCAGTGCCCAGGGCCAAGTCCTGCGATACAGTCGGAAGACCCATCTGCACGTGGAAGTGACCTGAGTCCGCTCGGGGGCCCACACCCTGCCACCCCGACCCCCCAAGGGTGGCTCACGGACTCGGTTACCCTATCGGGACCTCTCGCTTGTAGTCATAAAAGCCACAGGCTCGAAGTTTCCCGTGCTGCTTCTGGAAACGTCAGCTAGTGTTAGCCACGGTCGCTGCCTTTCTGCCCTCCACTGTGGCTCCCAGCCTTGTCCCTTCAGACCCGCATTAGTTGCTAGGAGCGTTACCCCAAGAATTCTGAGTCACTTCTCCACCTAGTTGTTCCGATCACCTCCTCGGGCTACATCCCTACACGCGTCTCAAGCTGGAGCCCGCCCAGCCCCCGCTCTGCGTAAGGAGGGTGCAAAAACGGAGCATCTGCGACACAGCTTTCTGCAGCAGCAAGCTTATTACAAGACTTGGAAAACCGAGGACTTTCCGAGACCCGACCGTCAGCCCCTCAACGTGGAAGAAGAGACGGAGAGGACGGGGAGGGAAGCTGTGCTCCGGGAAAAGCAGTCCAGGCTCTGAGGTTCCACCCCGGTGGGGCCAAGGGGCAGAGCTGCAGCGAGGGTGGCCTCTCCTCGTGTCCCCCAGGTGCCTCCAGGCCGTCCTCTAGGTTCCCCGAGTGTTTGGCCGCGATGCTTTGGAGGGTCCCAGAGGGGCCAAGCCCTTCCGAGTTGAATCTCTGCAGAGAGCGCCGCCGCGGTTGGCACAGCTCCCCGGTTGCTGGAGCGAGTCCTCTGACCCGCATCTTTGCACACACGCGTGTCCTTCTTGCACGGGCCCCACTCACAGCAGAAGGCCTCTCCCTCTGGCCGAAGCCCCACGCCCGGGGCCGGCTCCGGATTCTGCGACTTGCTCCCTGTGAGCGGACAATGCCGGGGGCAGCTCGACCTTTGCGCTGGGACCGGACCTGCTGGGACCTCACTGGGGCCACACACTGTTCCTCTTGCGAGACCTGATCCTGATTGTCAGGCAGCGGCACAGACCTCGGAGTGCCTTGAGCAGCCTCCCAGCAGCGCCCCCTCGGCCCTGGCTGCGGCCAGAGGGCGAGGCCAGGGTCACCCCGTGGGGCTGCCCCGCCTGCCGGGAGTCTCCTCGGCAGCTTCCCTCCTGAGCCCCACGTGTGGTTCAGGCACTGTGGGAGGAGGGGACGGCCCCGGGGTCCCATGGGGGGGCCGGGCTGGGGGCAGCGAGGCCCGTGTCCAGGCTGGGCAGAGCACCGCCAGGCTCTGCGACCTTCGGCCCTGACTGTGGCTTCTCGTTGGGCCGCTGACGGCCAGCCTGCTGGTCCCAGGTAGGCAGAACGGGCTCACTGCCAGCGCGCCGGCCGCGGGGCTCCGAGGCCCTCCGCCACGCCTTGCAGTGTGGCGAAGCACAGCAGCTGCGGGCCTTGTTGGAGGGGAGGGCGCTCGGGGGGCTGGCGTGGCCACCCCCCCATGGCTGCTGGGCCTTCGGCATCTCGTAGGTCCCCCAGGCGGCCCTCGTGTCAGCAGGCGGCTCCCTGTAAGGCCTCAGCCTCGGCGGGCCACAGTTGATCCGCGGGTCCCCCATCACCTCCTCCAAGGTCTTTCTCTTCTCTGGGTCGAGGGTCAGCAGGCCTCTGAGCAGCCGGGCGCACTGGCGCGACACCAGCCTGGGCGGCGAGTAAGCCCCCAGGAGCATGCTGCGCTGCATGGCGTGGAATTCTTCACCTGAGAACGGCAGGGACCCGGCAAGCATGGCGTTTAGCAGCACGCCGAGGCTCCAGACGTCGGCCGGGGGGCCGTCGTAGGGCTGCCGCCGCATGAGCTCCGGCTCCATGTAGCCGGGGGTGCCACAGAACGTGCTCAGCGGCCCGCCGGGCTCCAGGCTGCAGAAGCCGAAGTCGGCCAGCTTCGCGCTCCCCGCCGGGTCCAGGAGCACGTTCTCTGGCTTCAGGTCCCGGTGTATGACGCCCCGGCGGTGGCGGTACTGGAGAGCAGAGACGAGCTGCCGGAACCAGCCTCGCGCCTCCTCCTCCGTCAGGGCGCCGTGCTCCATCAGGTGGTCCAGCAGGTTGCCTCCGCGCACATATTCACTGATGATGAATAGTGTCTCCTCGCTTTCGATGACCTGCACCATCAAGATATGGGGGTGATGCAATCTCGCCAGACCCTCGGTTTCGCAGAGAAGTCTCTTGGCGGTGGCGGCGCTCTGCTCCTTCTTCGGTATGATGTTGACGTGCCTCGTCACTTAAGTCCCATCGTTCCTGACTGTGAGGGCTCAGAGATGGGTCCTTCA